GCCACAGAGGGACCCCAGGGCCAATAAGTCAGTTGTGCACAGGAGCTGGGGTGGGAGCTGGAGCCCACGTCCCTGGTCAGGGACTTGGGTCATGGTGATGTGTGCAAAACCTTTTCAATGATTCTCATTTTGTTGCACCTTAGAAGTTCCTTCGAAAAGGTGTTGAGAGAGACTCAGAAAGTTAAGGTTTGGATCTGTTCACAGGCACCAAACCTTGGAGCAGCAGGAGGCTGAGGAAGTACATGGGGAGGATAGGAGGAGATACAGGCTTTAGCTCTCCTGTGTGTGTGGGGGGGAGCTTCCTCAGGCCACAGGTCCATCCGAACTCAGGGAATAGATGGAGACCATTGAATTGGATCTGAAACTGTAGTTTTAACCTGGACCAGATTGGTCTAGATGACTTTTTAACATCTAAAACTACAAGTATTGTGTTTTGAATGGAAAATGCCCCCCAAAAGGCTTATGTGTTTGAACAGTTGGTCCCCAGCTGGTGGCATTGTTTTGGGAGGTTGTGAACCTTTAGGGGGTAGACACTTGCTCAGGGAAGTCAGTCAATAATGGTGGGCCTTGAGATTTTTATAGTCTGGCTCTATTTCCTGTCTGCTCTCTGCTTCCTGGTGACCACTGGCCTCACACTCCTGCCACCATGCCTTCCCTTCTGTGATGGACTGTATGCCCTCTTAAATGATAAGCCCAAATTAACCCTTCCTCTGTTAAGTTGTTTCTTGTTGGAGACAAGGTCTGGATATGTAGCCCAGGCTAGCTTCAAACTCATAGCAATCTTTCTCCCTCATCCTCCCACCTACGGGGATGGTAGATGTGTACCACCATGCTCAGTTACAGAAACTTTTGAGATCTGTCCAAGGTGTCAATGACGAGGGAAGGAGATTCCTCAGGGCATATTTAGGACTAGAGAGATGGCTCACTGGGTAAAGCCCTTGCCATGCAAGAATGAGAATCAATTTCTGACCCCCCAGAACCTATGAAATGCTGAACAGGCACAGTGGCCCACCTATAATTCCAGTGCTCAGAAAGGTGGAGATGAGGGAGAATCGGTGCAAACTGGCTTAGCCAGACTGGCCATCCGGAAACTCTGGGTCCGGTTGAGAAAACTTGCTTCAATGAATAAGATAGAGAGTGATGGAGGAAGATTCCCAACATCAGCCTTAGGACTCCACATGCATGGGAACATGTACTCATACATATGCACACACATGCACAGGAGAAAAAAAGAGCACATTCAATGGAAATAATGGGAATAAAACACCAAATAGCTTCATGTTTGTACATGGCTGAGTTCACAGTGCTCAAAATCTGGGTGACACAACTCCTGAGTTGAGGGGAGAGACTGTGTCTGAGAATGATGAGTGTGCCCAGAGCAAGCAGAGCCAAGAGACAGTGAAAGAGAGAGAGAGACTAGGGACAGTGTTTGAGCTCCCACACCATCCATTCTTAAAGAAAGCCAACCTCTGAAGTTTGCGGGACCGGGGTCAGTAAGCCCTGGAGTCTACCTGAGTGACTTCATGGCTGTTGTTTTTTACTTTATTATTTATTTATTTATATTTTTGTGTGGGGGTGTCGGAGGACAATGTGGGAGTTGTTTTTCTCCTTCAACCGTGTAGTTTCCAGGAGATGAAACTTACATTGTCAGGCTTGGTGGCAGGCACACCCACCTCACCTACTCCCTGGATGACATCTGCTATCACTGCTCACTGAAGTCCCAGCAGACACAGAGCGATATCCACTTTTTAATCATGGGGTGGGGGTGTGGCTTTCCTCACATTCCCAAAGGGCATTGCTGGAGGAGGGATGTTGTGAAGGGAAAAGGAATGAAGACCCCGGATCCAACTATTTGATTGACAATACCAGGACAAGGTCATCCAAACGGCCTGCTCTCTAGATCAAGGTCAGAATACCCTGTGCAAAGGGAGGGTCTGAAGCCCCAGGAGCTGGCATTAACTGGCACTCAAGAAATATTTGTTGAATAGAAACCAGCAGGAAAATTATAACAAGTCATACTTTACATGCAAATTTTCAGGAATATTTTCAGGAAAATATCTAATGTGTGAACATCTAATCTGCATTTCCATGTCCTGACAGATGGCCCCATATTAACAAAGCTCTGATTATAGTAAAAAAATAAATAAAAGAAGAAAGAAATAAAAGGAAAAAAGAAAACCTACAAATATTCATTGAGTGGGTACCATGTAAGCGAGGTACACAAAGCCACGCTCTGTGACTGTCACTTTATTTATTTATTTATTTATTTATTTATTTATTTATTTATTTATTTGTCTTTTTGAGACAGAGTCTCCCTGTAGCCCCAGCTGGCCTGGAACTCACTATATACATCAGGTTGGCCTTGAACTCACAGAGATCTGCCTGCCTCTGCTTCCTGAGTGCTGGGACTAAAGGTGTTTGCCACCACACCTGGCGACTGTCACATTTATTATTTAGAAAAGATGACCTTGAGGTATTCCCATTTGCCAAAGACCACCCCAAATGTTGTACAGAGGAAGACGACCCCCAGGACTTGTATGGGTAGAATAGGGGGTTGTTTCTTGGAAGAGGGATCTGGGCCCTGAGAGTCTATCGCTGTATTCTTAAAATGGAACCAGGGACGAAGTGCATCAGACACTCTGGGCTGTTGATTAAAAATGCAAATTTCCTGGCCCCAGCCCACACTTACAGAGTCAGAACCTCTAAGAGCAGGGTCTTGGAATCTGCATTCCAGTCATCTCCCCAGATAGATGAAAACCTGTATCTGCTACAATCCATTCATATAGGCCCTGGCTTTCTGCATAGCCCTATGGGAGGTGGCCCTTTGGGGAGAGAAGGCCTAGGCTGGGAGGATGAAGGATGCTGAGGTTCTGTGAGCCAGTGTCACTGTCCTTGAGGTCAGAGCCAGTTCATGTCATATTAGAGGTAAGGGCACATCACCAGTGCTGAAGCACTCCTGTGTTGTATAGGTTAATACCCAGACCAGATTCAGGGTGTGGCTAGTGGACCTGGCAGGCTCCCAGGGCTTTGCAGCTCTCTAGATGATACAGCATTCTAGAACTGATTATCTGCAACTTCTAGTGCCCTGGAGGGTTTCATTGCTTAATAGACATAACTTACTGTTTCTCAATTGGCCACTAAACTCTCAAGGTTAAGATCATGACTGCCATCTCCTGTAGCTTTTGTGCCTTCCCCAAGCCTCTGCCCTATCTACTGCATTGCAAGACATCCTTCAGATAGTTCAAAGTCGTCTTCATTTGACCTGCCGTCTGGCTTGAGACTAGGGGCTGACCTTCCATCTGCTGCCTTAGGATGGCACCCTAAGCTTCCCTTGGGAAGCTACCCCCCCACCCAAGTTCTCAGCTTTGGGACTTCAGCACACTGAATCTCAGGGCTGGAGTCAATTGGACATGGATCCATTTGTGTTCCCATCCCCTGACCACAGTAATTGGCCCCTGAGTGGTCAGTGACCTCAGCACTCTGATCAGAGTGACCTTTGTGACTCTTGCTGGGAATTTTCTGCCATAGATCTTATTTGGTGAGGAGCAAGGGAGCGTGTGTTCCCAGGCACTCTGGCAAACTACCTAAGGTTTCCAGAGGACAGTGTGGTTGAGCATGGGGCCAAGAGGAGGAAGAACAGTCAAGAACTGGGACAGAAAAACCCAGACCCAAGAGCATCTTTGAAGTTTAGCTAAAGGTTTGCCTGAAGCCTCATCTGTTCCTGAACTGAGCAGTTTTTTTGTACCCATAAGTACAAATGTACGAGTTAGTTTGTTTTTCCCAAAATCAGTTTGACTCAGAGCTTTGTTACCTGGAGCTAAATATATCTTACAAGACACACCTTCCAGCTCCCCTTACCTTGCTTGCTGTAATGTACCCTATCATCTTTGGCCTGCTCCTCATCCTGCTCCTCAATTTGAACCAAGTATTAAATGACTACCTATAAAGCAGACTGAGACAGGTGGTGGGGTTATCTGGATTCATGGCTTGTTGAGACTCCATGCCCGAAGAATATTGATTAATGGATCAATGTCAGCCTGAAGGAAGCCCTGTCCTGTTCAACATTTTAATCAATGACTTAGATGAAGGGAGACATGCTTAGCAAGTCTCAGATGACACAAGCTGGAGGAACCACTAATATGACAGATGGCAGAATCAAGATTCAAAATTATTTTGACTGACTGGAACAGTAATAAGGATAAATAGAAACTCTTATACCCAGGCTCAAGAGATCAATTATATAAGCAGGGGGGCTGGGAGGCCCAGCTTGGGAGTTGTTATAACAACAAATGACTTGCAGTTGACCATAAACTTATGTGGAACCAAACACCGGGACAGTCAGAACACTTACACAGGTTTCAAATATTGAAAAACTGACTTAGGCCAGAAAGACTGTGCCTCTACTTCCCCAGTAGGACAAAAAGGCGGCATTTTCTGGGAAGCAGTTTTCAGTCCATTGTATAATTTTTTTCTCTAATGCTTCCAATAACAGACTAAGACACATTCTAAAATTGTGAATGAAGGATAAGGAGATCAGAATGTAGCAGACATGATTCCACTGTGGGGATTTTCTGTTTGAAAGCACATACTTTGAAAATGATTCTCTTTCACTGTGTGTATGTCGAGGCAATGCACACACAAGCATCCAGAGTAAAACCACGAGGTGAGAGAAGAGCTCAGCTCTTGGAAGCTCAGACCTTGGAAGTCTGCTATGATCCATCCAGAGGGGCCTTATCTCCATGGAATGCCCAAAATCCAACTGTATTTGGTGCTTGCTGGCCCCATCCTACCTGCCTGCACTGTGGGCCTCCTTTCCCCAGCCAGTCTTCATTCCTTCCTGCTACACCCCACCTGTTCGGTGTTCCTGTGTTCCCTTTCTTGGCTCCCCTCTCCTGCCTTCCTCAGTGAGGCTGCCCACAGTCAGAGCATGGGAGCAGAGGTTTCACAGAATTTGCTGCTATGTGGACATCACATGGACACCCACACCCCATTGTACTCACGTGTTTCTCTATGAAGAAATCCACCTCTCTCAGAAGCCTGTCCTGGCAGTCAGGGTGGGTGGCCAGCAGGTAGGTGACAAAGGAGAGGGTGTTGGTGATGATCTCGTGACCAGCGATGAGGAAGAGGAAAGCCTGGCCTACTATCTCATTCAGGGTCAAAGGCGGGGACATGGCTGTGGGCTGGCGTTCCTGGGGAGGGGCTGCTGTGCACTCAGTAGGGGAGAGGGTTTCTGTGACCAAGTCAAAGTCTTGCACGCCCACGGAGTTCTTGGAGTGCCGGGCATCTAGCACCATTTGAAGGAAGTCTCTCCGCCTCTGAGGACAAGGTTGGAAAAGGCATATTAGAGCTTGGAATGAGGCTTGTTGGAGGACGAAGGGAGGGGAATTGGGTGTGGCTTCTGAGTGGCTCAGTGGTAGCATGCTTTGTTACCAGGTTACCTGAAATGGTGAGAACCTGGAGGCACTCGACTGATCCTCAGCAGTGCAGACAGGCTGATGCTGTCAGTGAAATACAATGCTGTTCTTTTCTTTGCCATTGTGCATAATTTTGGAGTTCAAGGGGATAATTTTCTTAATGTGTATGAGTTTTGCCTGCTTGTATGTAAGTGTACCACATGCATACATTGCCCATGGAGGCCAGAAGAGGGCATCAGATCCTCGGAACTGGAGTTACAGATGGTTGTTAGTCACCATGTGGGTGCTGGGAATCGAACCTGGGTCCTCTGCAAGAGCAGCTAGTGTTCTTAACCACTGAGTCACCTCTCTAGCCCCTCAGTGGGATAATTTTATATATGCTGTATAATGGTCAGAACAGAGCTAGTGGCCTGTCCACCTCTTTCCATTTGTGTGTTAGAGATGTGTGCAATAGGAGCTCTTCAAACTCTTCTTTTGTAGCTGTTTATAAGATTGTAACAAGAGGCTACAGAATATAGTCACCCTTCTGTGCTACAGAACACCAGACCTTAGTTTTCCTAGCCAGCTGGATTCCACACCTGTAATCCAACCACGCTCTATCCTTTCTCCTATCCCCAGTCCTCCCCAATCTCCAGTGACTACCAGATTCTATTTCTGAGATCAGCTTTTTAGCTTCCACATAGGAGAGCAAGCATGCTGGGTTTGTCTTTCTGTGCCTGATGTTGCACTTCATAGAATGTCCTCCAGTTTTTAGCCATGTAGCTGAAAATCAACAGATTCTGCTCTTTTAAAAAAATTAATTACTAATTAATTTTTATGTGCATGAGTGTATTGCCTACAAGTGTGTAAGTGCACCTGTGTTGTGCAGGGCTTGCAGAGGTCAGAAGAGGGCATTGACTTTCTTGGAACTGGAGTTTTGAACAGTTGTTAGTCACCATGTGGACACTGGGAATGGAACCTGGGTCCTCTTCAAGAGCAAACCAGTGCTCTTAACGGTTTACCCATCTCTCCAGCCCCAGATTCCATTCTTTTATATGGTCAAATACTATTCCACTGTGTATATGTACCACAATTCCTTGATATATTCAGGATAAGTCCATTCCCTCTAGGCTGATCAAAAAGGTGTGAGTCACATCTTTATGTGTTAAAAAAATAAAAATAAAAGCAGCCAGGCGTGGTGGCATTGCTCTTAACGGTTTACCCATCTCTCCAGCCCCAGATTCCATTCTTTTATATGGTCAAATACTATTCCACTGTGTATATGTACCACAATTCCTTGATATATTCAGGATAAGTCCATTCCCTCTAGGCTGATCAAAAAGGTGTGAGTCACATCTTTATGTGTTAAAAAAATAAAAATAAAAGCAGCCAGGCGTGGTGGCATACATCTTTAATCCCATAATTTTTTTTGAAGAGCAATACTTTTTAAACATTGAATTTCATAGAACAAAATACATTTTAAAAAGGAGAGCCGGGCATGGTGGTGCATGCCTGTAGTCCCAGCACTTGGGAGGCAGAGGCAGGCAGATCTCTGTGAGTTCAAGGCCTGTGTGGTCTACATAGTGAGTTCTAGGCTAGCTGGGGCTGCAGGGAGACCCTGTCTCAAAAAGACCAAAAAATAAATAAATAAATAAAAAATAAAAGCAAGCGTCAGAGCAATAGACACAATGGGATTTTATTCTGTAAAAACAGTACATGGACAATCTACAGAGCTATGTGCTTCCATCTATGCATGAAAATACTGGCAACATATGAACTCAGTAGTTCCTAGAGAGCTGGAAGAGGGGGAGACCAGGAGACATTTACTACTTATTAGAACCTTCTACACATTTATACTGTTGACTGATTTTCCGATAAGAAAATGCCGTATAGGTTTACATCAGAAAGCAGGAGCCGCTGTTTTCTCTAGCACAGTTGAGGACTTGTGTGGGTTGCCATAAGTTTTCTCACACAGCGGTCAACAGGATGAGGTAAGGGTGCAGGAAGGTGCTGGCTCAAGTGAAGCTTGTCTTCAAAGCCCCCAGATTTAGCAGCCCACTTTCTACACAGCCCCGTTTTCTCCTCTGTAATCTCCAATCTCTTTTGAGTGGTTAAAACCGTTTTACCATTTCCCCCTACCTTCCTTATCAGTAATTTGCATATTCTCTATTTTGACTACCACTAATTCTAACCACAGGAGTATTTACTACCGCTTTAACATTCACAAAGTGCATTCCCCACACGTCCTTTCTTTGAAATGCCCTTTAATGTGATGAATGACAACCAAGATGTTGCTGGGTTCTGAAGTTTATGGGATTAAAACAGCAAGAGGAAAGTATTAGAACCTCCAACAGGAAAATATTATAATTTCAAAGTACTTTCTTAGTTGCGGTGTTTTCTCAATTCATTGGCTTCTGAATTTCTGTTGCATGAATAATCTATGCCACACACATTAGCATGTAATTCCATCTTTTAAATTTGTTGCCATTTCATGTGTGGCTGCTTTTTTCTGCTCTGTGAGATAAACGGCAACCCCAGGGTGCGACCCTCCCTCACCCCCACCTGTGCCAAGTATTGTGCTGAGCACATATTAGACACACAATGGAATATTCTACTGATCAGAATGTAAAGTAACAGATGTCCTTGGGGACGGATGCCTAGGGTTTCAACTGTGTGCTGTTTGGAGCAGGAGACTTTTGCAGCTACGTGGCTTCACAAGTTAGAGACCTTTGAGGGTGTCTGCTGGGACGCTGGCAGGGCTCCCAGCTGAGTGCAGGTGTCCCACACCTTGAGGCTGAGGAGGTGAGGTGTCCACTTCCCTCCAGCCTGCTCCAGCTGTAACAGATGAGGGAATGGCAAAGCCTAGTCCTCCTCCCTGTGCCTTGGCTGTGCTCATGCTGATGTCCAAATTATTTTTCTGCCTGGTGCTACTCTATCTAGGGGGCTGCTGTGCTGTGTGGCAGAACTGGGGTAGGGCAGCACAAGATGGTGTGTGTGTGGGGGGGGTGAGTATCCGAGGCTCCCTGGGCACTAGGACGTGGCCCAGAGAAAAACAGAACACTCTTGGGCCTCATGGTGGCTCCATGTGAAACTCCTCCTCACGGTGAAGCACAGTCCCTGAGGCTTGGTGGTGGCTATGCCAGGGTGGAATAGGGTGGATGACACGGAGCTCACAGCCATGTCCACATCATGTATTTTTCCACAAGCAGCTTGGTGGCTGGCATCCTCTCCTCTTATCCCAGCCCAGCCAGGCTGTTAAAAGGCCTGGCAGAGTCTTGTAGAAATCTGTCTTAACCTCCAGCTAATGAGGTCAGGGGAAAGGGCTGCTCTCTAAGGGCCTATGCACTGGAGAGGAACTTCAGTGCGGATGGAGTTCTTTCGTTCGCAGGGCATCATGGGGGTCATGTGAATGCTGCCCATTTAGAATTGAATCAGGGCTGGTTTACGGTTATATCCAAGAAAAATACGGGCCCTGATAGATGTAGGTGTCTAATCCACCCATCGGCTAGAGCTTAGAAAAATATTTACCTTTTAACATCTGTGCAGCGTTTTTGCTGTGCAAACACACATCTGTTTGATGGAATGTATACAGAGTTCAGATGGTTTTAAAGTGAGTTTTCTTAGTAACTGTATAGCTCTGTCTTGACTCAGGCGGTCCTGGATTTGTGGTTGGGAGGTTTTTCTCAGATCAATTCATTGTTTGAAACAAATAGCTATAGAGTTTACAAAAGGAAAAGCTCTAGGCAATCCCAGTAATTGGATCTTTAATAACCTCTCACCTCTTAGTAAGTCACTCTGAGCAACAGTTTTTAAATTTTCAGCCTGGTTCTACAGCCATCGGGTTTCAGGCTAGGTGTGTGTTTGTGTGCATGCATGCATGTGTGTGTGACAAAGGTCTCCTGGGCAGCCCTTTGCAGCAATGGTGAGGTTTGGAAATGGTACTTTATCTCTTGTAATCCAGGCTTTCACCTTAAGGCAGAGAAACATTGAAAAACAACTGTCCTGTTTCTTAGGGCTTCAGAGTGGGGCCAGGTATACCAGTTGGCCCATTCTTCCCCCACTTTCAAGGGCTTTCAAATATAGCTGATGGTGGTATGGGCCAAGGATGGAGAGTTTGTATACACCTGCCCACACCTTCAGATCCAGACACATTTGCTACACGGTTCTCAGTGTGTGCAGTTGACTAGGATAAGGTTGCTACCCAAGGCTGCTAAGTGCATCGAGCTACTAATTGACTCAGATTTCATTCTAGGTCAGTGCCTTAAGCATCAGCCTCATGAATTCCTCTGAGCTGCAGTCTTTGAGAAAACCCTTTTAAAGCTCCACCTTGCTTAAGTTGGTTAAGGGACAGCCCTTTCAGTTGACTTTTCCTTTTAGGAATTTTCTTTAATGCAGTGAAACCCTAGGTTAACAGCACTGGCACGGATGAGTGTCTCTCATGGGTTGGCTTTTCTTCACATTGAACACACCCATCACTACTCACAGCCCAGTTCAGTCAACAAATATTTACTTATTCCTACTCTGTGCCAAGCAGAGTGCAAACCTGCGAAGAGGAAAGGACATGCCAGGTCTCAGATGGAGCATGCTAAAGAGAGCAGGGGGCCCCAACCACGATTTTTCTAGCAACATTCTCTATCTTGAAAGGGACTTAGGGTTGACTGACAGTTACCTGAACTTCTAATATTTATGCTATTCATGCTATGAAACTCCATCTTGCTGTTTTTCAATAGAAAGACTATGCTCATGAAAATTGCATGAGCCACACTTACTTAGAAAATTGGGGGGAGGGTCCTGCTGCAACCTGCACTTGGGGGGGGATGTCTAGACTAGACAGACAGCTTAGGGGGCCACTTTCATTCTATAACTCACATCAGGGGATACAGGTCTCTACTGCCCTTCCCATCCCTCTTTTCTTTTTCTTGTGGGGATGTTCCTCTACCCTTCTCTTTGCTTTCTGCAGGCCCTGGAAAGCTCTGGATGGAGGATTGCTGAAGGACAGCCTGGCATGATGTGCAGAGTGGGAGGGAGAAGAAAGAAAGGCAAGAATGATGCCAAATTAGGTTCCATTCCATTTCGAGGCTGTGTCTATTAAAATAGTTACCTCTTCTGCTGCTTGCTGGTCCCGTAAGGCAATCACATTCTTAATGAGTTTGTTAAAAAAGCCATTCAGTTCATCTCGATTCTTATTGGGCAGAATCCGGGCCAGTGGGACCATTATGGATGGAAACGATACTTGAAAGAGAAAAACAAAAGTGGCACTGAAAAGGGGGTGGTAATGAACCAGGGCTATTAGACGCCTGTTACTAGGAAGCAAGTGCCAGCCATGAATTAGAGTCACTTGGGAGGCCTGTCCTCCCTACAGACTCAAGTTTCTCAGAGCAAGGTTCAGTCTGACTCCAGCTCTGTGCCATATCCCATTCCCTGCACATAGTAAGTGTTTATTAAATGTCTGTGCAATAGTGAATCCTCACGTCCATCTGCCCCTCCAAAACCAATTTCACACTTAGAAATTCATGTCTCAGATCTTAGAGAGGAGGGCCAAGGTCTTTGAAGTTCTTCAGGACAGAAGAGATGAATGCCTATGTTCCAAGCCTTAGCAAGGGGCAGAAACTCATCTACTTTCTTAACTTTCTGATCATTTGTATTTTTCTTTCTCTGGATAATTGTCCCTACAGTAGTCACCTGAATTTTCCCTGTGACCTGCTGCTGCAGCTATTGACAAGGACACTAGCCCCCTCCACTGTGGGTCCTCTGCCATGTGACATCAGTCCAGGCCCTGGTTGCCATGCCCTTGGGACAGGGTTCCCTGGGTCAGGGACATTTAATCTTTCCAGAAGAGAGATTCTGGGCCCAGGGGGTGAGGCCTTGCTACAGGGGCATGTGGCTCTCTACTCAGGCTCCTTGGCAGACTACCTCTACACAAGCTGGGTTGAATCTGACTGGAGACAGTAGATCCTGCCACTCAGGATTCTTGACCTGTTTAGAAACACAGAGAGCAGGGCTAGTAATAATGGACAACCTGCCAGAGTATCTCATGGTTGAAGGTTGTAGGAGTAGGAACAGCAGACTTGGCCTGTGCAGAGCCCTTGGGCACAAAGGAGGAGGTTGATTGACCCCACATCAGTGCCTATAAGTCCAGCGTGCTGTCCATGGAGGTGACAGGGCCTCCCACTGAAACTGGTGCAGAAATGAGAATAATAGCTGGCTGGTGGCGCTCAGAAGGCTGAGGCAGGGGGATTTCCAATCGGAGGTCAGACAAGGCTCTATAAACAAGACCCTGTTTCAAAAAAGCGAGAAAAGGAAGAAGGAAGGAGGAGGGATGAGAAGGAGGAAGAAAAGGAAAAGATAGAGGAGAGGAAGAGGAGGAGGAGGAAGAAGAGGAAAAGGGAATGAAGAAGCCCGAGAATGACGAAACAGTTATTGCTAGAACAACACCCCAGCACTTCAGAGCAACAAGATACTGGAAGTGGCCAGAGGGCCAAAACGTCCTGTTAAAGACAATGATCTTATTAGCACTAGGCATCCTTCCAGTGAAGGATGATTTTTAGTTTAGGAAATACCAGCTTCCAGTGAAGTCCTTGGAAGAGGATTTTGTGGGGGGGGGACAAAAACATCCTAGAAAATGGAAGGCTTCCAGTCTTGGCTTTGCCTTTCTAAGCCTCAGTTTTCTGATCCTGAAAATGGGTACATGGGTATTTTTCTCATAGGGTGAATGCTAGGACTGACGGAAGCAATGTCCACAAAGTGCTAGGCATGGGTACTGGTGTGATAGAGGCCAGGACCACCTATGTTGGCCCTAGACTGTGACAAGAGAACCCTTGTGGTTTCAGGAAAATAAGGTCTCTGCAAGATAAATCTCAGAAACCCCCAAGGGCCCTTTCCTTGTAGAAGGTGCTGTATGCTGAAAGGTGTCCCATGGGTGGCCTGCTGGTCTCACTGCACTGGGTAGGGCTGTACTTACAGATTAAAGCCAGGAGAGGCCTGGGGATGCAGAATGCAAAGAAGTGTCGGCAGTGTTTTACAAAGGGGTCTTCGGGAGCATTCTGGGAGTCCACGAGGGTGCCAAAGGCCACACTGGCCACTACATCTGTGGTATAACAGCAGTAGCTCCTGTGGAGATGGAAATGTTGGGATTTGAAAGGATGCTGCTTTGGTCTTCCCATAATGCAATCCTCCAGACAAAGCAAGGCTCCCTGGTCTACATGGATGGTTTTAGTCCTGCAGATCTGAGCAAGGAATGGAGAGAAGCATCGAGGATGAGCAGCAATGGCAGCTATGGAGAAGACAGGAAGCCTTAACAGGGAGCTGATGGAAGAGAAGGCCAGGGCAGGGGCATCACCTACTCAGCCTTGAGAACACAATTAAATACCAAGATGCATACTGCACACTTCATGATCCTCCCCATGTAGGGGGGGAAATTGGAGCCTCAGAGCCAAGGGGCTTTACTCACGAGCTGTGGGTGCACAGCCTACCTCAGGCTAGGATCTAATGACTGATCGATATCTGTCATATTGGCACTTATGGATAAGCCTGATTATCTCATTTTATTAACGACCCCTTTTTCCTCCTAGTGGTTTTGCAGTTTTTAAAAGACCAACAAACAAAACAAACAAGGCCCAAAGCTAAAAACAAAGGGCTCATCACACTCATGTAAATAGCAGATGAATATTGGGGCAGGCAGCTGTCATTACTGAAAATATATATTGTCCTTTTCAAACAAACACAAGGAAAAGTGTCTTCCAGTAGCTCCAGAAAATTTAACCCCAGGTAACAACAAGAAGCCTGTCCTTCTAAAAGGCCATTTTAGAAGGCCTTACTCTTTTTTATTTTATTTTATTTTATTTTTATTTTATTTGGTCTTTTTGAGACAGGGTCTCCCTGTAGCCCCACCTGGCCTAGAATTCCCTATGTAGACCAGGCTGGCCTTGAACTCACAGAGATCTGCTTGCCTCTGTTTCCTGAGTGCTGGGATTAAAGGTGTGTGCCACTTTGCATGGCATTATTATTTTATTTTTAAATCTTTAGTGCTGCCGGGCGTGGTGGCGCACGCCTTTAATCCCAGCACCTGGGAGGCAGAGGCAGGCGGATTTCTGTGAGTTCAAGGCCAGCCCAGTCTACAGAGTGAGTTCCAGGACAGCTGGGGCTACAGGGAGACCAAAAAGAAAAAAAAAAAAACTGGAGGGTCAGCGAGATGTCTCTGCAGGTAAAGATGTTTACCCCTCAAGCCTAACAGCCTAAATTTGATCCCTGGAACCCATGTAAACGTGGAAGGAGAGCGCTAACTTCACAAAGTTGTCCTCTGATCTCTATGAGCATGTCCCACCTCCTATGTAGTCTCAAGAAGTTACACGTAGGGTTTAAACATGACCCAGCAATTCCACTCCTAAGGCTGTATAGCCAGGAAAGAGGCATAGTTTAAAGTTTAAAACCTCATTTAATTTTATGTCTTATAGGGCTTATATGGAATACGATATTGTATAATTGTATTAATTCAACTGTAAACCTAAAAATTTACAGCCGATTTTGAAAGAGACACGTCTTAGCTCTGGAAATTGTTATTGAATATGTCAATGCTGTTGTAATGAAATTCCTCTTCTAATTATATGGTTATTAAATAAATAATTAAAAAAATCTTTAGTACTATTATTATTTTGTGTGTATACGCATGGTGGGGAGGGGGCATGTATGTGTCATAATGCACTTGTGGCAGTCAGAGAACAACTTTGAGGAGTCAGTGCCCTCCTTCCACCTTTGTGTGGGTTCTGGGGATTGAACTCAGGTCACCAAGCTTGGGAGGCAAGTACCTTTACAGCTGAACCATTTCTCTGGCCTCTAGAATTCTTTTTAAGATTTATTTATTTTACTTTTTTTTTTTTTTTGTCTTTTTGAGACAGGGTCTCCCTGTAGCCCCAGCTGTCCTGGAACTCACTATGTAGACCAGGCTGGTTTTGAACTCAGAGATCCGCCTGCCTCTGCCTCCCGAGTGCTGGGATTAAAGGCGTGCGCCACCACGTCTGGCGTTATTTTACTTTTTATGTGTATGAGTGTTTTGCCTGATTGTGTAAAGGTGTGCCACATAGGTGCCTGGTGCCTGTAGAGGCCAAAAGAGGACATCACACTCCCTGGAACTAGAGTTGTTAGCTGACATGTGGGTGTTGGGAACCAAACTGGGGTCCTCTGCAAGAGCAGCGAATGCTCTTAATCACTCCGGCCCCTCATTTTGTTTCTGTACGGGAGTTGGCAGATTAAGTTCCTTTTAAGAAAGCTAACAGCTGGGTTATTAATATCCTTCTATAATTACAAAGTCTATTTTTGTCCTTGATGTAGGCACACATTTCGTTCCTCTTCTACATGAATTCTATAGCCACTAACTTATCATTGGGGAATAAATGACATGACTTGATGACTATAAAATTTTGACTGCTTTTATTGAAAACATTTCTACAGTTGATCACAAATTTCCTCACGGTAGTAAAAACTAAACAAGAATAGTGAATACAATTTTATCAGATCCTAATGGTTGAAGATTAAGGGGTTTAAGAATTATTTGCATTGTATAGCTGAGGAGGCTACTTTATCCTCACCTTCTGTGTAATCTGAGAGAATGTGGATAAGGAGGCATTGTCAACAGTTGGGCACATATAGATGCTGCTGTGAATTATGTTATGGTTTTATTAGCAGTGGTACAGTCAGTTGTAGTTGATCTGCTGTCCCCATTCTGAGGCCAAACATGATTTAGCATAGGTTGTTTGGAGAAAAGTCAGTCACTCACATTGCCAGCTGTGTATACGTAACATCACCCTCTCTGCTGCCCACCACTGAGCTGTGGTTTCTATGTATAAATGATCATCTATCTATCTATCTATCTATCTATCTATCTATCTATCTATCCATCCATCTATCTATCTATCTATCTATCTATCTATCTATCTATCTATCTATCTATCTATCTATCTATCTATCTATCTATCTATCTATCTATCTATCTATCTATCTATCTATCTATCTATCTATCTATCTATCTATCTATCTATCTATCTATCTATCTATCTATCTATCTATCTATCTATCTATCTATCTATCTATCTATCTATCTATCTATCTATCTATCTATCTATCTATCTATCTATCTATCTATCTATCTATCTATCTATCTATCTATCTATCTATCTATCTATCTATCTATCTATCGATCATCTATCATCTATCTATCAATCATCTATCTATCTATCTATCTA